AAAACCAAGTTAATTTCTACTGAAGAATTGTTATTTTTCGCTTACTGAAGAAGTTCATTTCAGAAAATGTTTTAGATATTTCAAAAATTCAGATATTTTAATTCCTTCAAAATAAATGATTAAAAACGTGATCAATTAGATTGAATGAAATTATGATTTCTCTTGACATTACGAAGTATGGTACTCACTAGAATGACAGCACTAGCAAGCTCAGTATACTGTTTCAAGTAAATAGTGAGAGTGTGTGGCCCAAATATCGTGGAAGCACCCTCGTACCTTTGAATCTGAAATTTGAAATTGCACGCCAATTACACAAAATTGAATCGCGTAGAAATAAATATTTCTAACATATTTTCGACAATCTCGGGGTCGTAATAAATCTGCGAAAAGTGGTTAAAACATATTCTTGACAATTTTGAAACCGTGATTCCGTCATTTAGTTATTCATTGTTTCGCGAAAACCGTGTCAAAGTCGATGATATTATCGGCTCAGGAACGGAACGTTTACGGCACGATTCGGTTTAGACAAATGCTTACAGTTTTTCTATCATCAGTCCACGTTCGGCAATCGTCATTTCGCAGAAGTCTTTCATAGGATAACTTTTGTTTCAATGTGTTTTCACACAGATTCACATTAACACGTTCCGTGCCGAGCTTTTTTTACTCGAATCTTCACACTTTGATATTTTACTAAAACTTGATGTATTACGTGCAATTATTAATTCTCGTACACGTAACAACGTAACAAAAACTTATCAACGCCCATTCTTGCGGTGGGAATTGATTCTTCGGTTCTAAATTTCTTGTAAACAATTTGTTCAGTTCACTAAGTAAACATGCAAGCGTGTACCATCGATGGTACACGTGGCACGGAACGTGTTAAAAGATCTACGCTGCGTAATGCTATTATTAGATTAAGAAAAAACAAGCAAAACAAACTTCGTTTTGCTGTTCATAGGATATTAAAGAAAAAAAAGTTCATGGAGAATATTGGAAAATATTAAAACAATTTATGAACGATGAAGAAAAATTCTTCGAATATCTGAGAATGTCAATACACAGCATTGATTTTTTCTTGAGGAAAGTCGAAAATTCCATTAAAAAATAAAATACAATTTGTATGAGGTCTATCAGATTGAAAGAAAAACTGACAGAGTGTTTTTGAGATAAATGAAACCATATAATTATCATTTTATTAAGGAAACGTATATCAAAATACCAAAATGTCAGAATGCCAGAATGTAAGAATGTCAAAATGTCAAAATGTCAGAATGTCAAAATGTCAAAATGACAAAATGTCGGAATGTCAAAATTTCGGAATGTCAGAATGTTAGAATGTCAAAATGTCAGAATGTCAAAAAGTCAGAATATCAAAATGTCAGAATGTCAGAAGGTCAGAACGTCAGAGTAGAATGCCGAAATGTCAGAATATCATAATGACATAATGACATAATGACATAATATCAGAATATCAGAATGCCAGAATGTAAGAATGTAAGGATGACAGAACGACAGAACGACAGAACGTCAGGACGTCAGAATATGAAAATATCAATATTTCAAGAATAAGTTAAGTCGTTACGGTTCTTGCCTGAACTAAATGTATTGGCTTGTTCAGAAATAATTTCGGTTTTTCGTAAGCTATCTATTTGGAAAACCGAGAAATTACTTTTGCAACAAGGAAACACATCGTACAGACCTGTTCGTTCAAGTATATTTAGTCACATGTTGGTTTAGGCAAAACATTGTTTCCGAGAATGCCGGTTGTCGCATGTTCGAAACGCAACGCGTTCGAATCGATCCGCGACGCTATATATAAACATTCGCATGTTTATTCCTACAATAATGTTTGCTTGAGCCGAATCGTGTCGTGAACGCTTCGTGCGCCTAAACGGATGAGAATGAATCGAAAACAATTCCAGTTTATGAGCGACCGTAAATCGTTTTTCCCATGTGTTTTCTTTCTTCCTTCCTTTCATGATCGAAATAAATTATTTGCAAAATAATCGTTAAGATAATACACATAATATTGTTTTATTCGACCACATGTTATTTGAAATAACTACACTTTAGTTTATTTTAGCGGTCAAATAATTTTTCAAATGACAAAATAAATTTTTACTCTATTTGTTATTTGATCAAATATTGATTCGAATATTTCCTCAAATATTCTCTAATTCTATCATGTCAACTACGCCAATAATGTGAGTTAGTATGTTGGAAGAAAACGTAGTTAAATTATAAAAACACCATTCCAAGTCTAATTAGAGTTTATCTGTGTCCAATGAAATTTGATTAAATATAATTAATTTAATTCAATAATATTCTCAGAATAATATTCCAAATTATATTAATTCAAGAATTCTTATTCATTCTTACTAATTTCAGTTACAATTAATTCAAAGATTCTAATGTCAAATTATTTGTCATTTTATTTTAGCGAGTAATTGAAAGAAACAACTATTCGAAAACAATTTATTTGAATTGGAAATCAGATAAAGTTGCTTTTCTGTATTATCTGCAATCATAAAGCGAATTAAAAATAATAAATTATTTGAAAAACAATATGATTATCTCAAATAGTTATTTGTTATCTTATTTCAAATAAAATGTGCCCAGGGCTGTTTATAATCGCATTCCTTTTTTCAATTGACAGGGTATAACCCTCCCCCCTTTCTACAATCGATCCTAATGCGAGGGAAATGGTTGAAATCCGGCGCGCGGGAAATAAAAAAAAATGATCCTCTATTTTACTTGATATTCCTCCGGCGTGGCGATGTAATCGCTGTATACATTACAGAGGCCAGCGACTATGACGGAGGTTTCGTCGTCGGACGCTTCGTTCATGACCGTTCTGATAGCCTCTCGCAATCTTCTTCCGGACATTGTTGTGAACTCTCCCGGCACACCGGCGATGACGATGCTGCCGATCAGCGCGACCTGCGTCGATACCACTTTCGGCTGCCACTCATACGGCAGAGTCATCTGAAAAATGGATTACCATCAATCAAAACGATTGCTACAGAGGATTCAATGGCGGAATTCTCGAAACGAGTTCGCCCCGAAATCCTGAAAAAATAATCACTTCCGGTTGAAAATTCAAATGCCTGGTTTCTGATTTTTTTCTTTAACAGTTACACAAATTTCATTATTTATTCAGCATGATATTCCGTGGACCAATCACAACAAATACGAAGATTTTTTATCAACCTCTGACCTGAGAAAGATTGTATTATTTGGTGTGTTCGTTAAGATCACGGTGTGACGCTAAAAGCTTATTTCTACGAGTTGCCGCGAGTAGTGCCAGTGAAATATCCGTGCTCGCTGGCACATTACTTTTTAAATTATACAAGGTGTCCCAAAAGTTACTCATAATCGCGTTTTCATAGAAAGAATGAAAAAATTTGTAAATGAGGTTATAACTGTTGGAATTTCGATAAGATCGGCAGCTAAAGCTTTTAATATGACTAAATCGCATTTAGTGAAACAAACTAAAGAAAATAAATTGTTTATATGTGTACCAAATATTGGCAACAAAAGAGTATTTAGCATGGATCAAGAAGATTGTCTTTTAAAATCAAAAAGATTGTTATTTGAAAACTACTGCAAAAATATATTATTGTAAAGATGCAAAGATTTACATTATTAAAGATTTTTATATAACATTGTATGTACTTACAATGAATAACAAAAAACAGTACTTATAAAATTAGTACCAAGATTATTTCATTTTGTAACAGTGTCCCACTCAATACAACCAATTAATGAATGTGACAAAATGCACTTTTTAAAGAAATTAAAAATAAAGCAAATCAACGTAGGAGAAATTCATCGACACTATGCATTCTTATAGTAAAAAGGCTGATATTTCGAATGTTCCAAACTAGAATTATATACGTTGTTTACTTTTTTTCGTTACCTTGTTCTAAGCAAAAGTGTCCTATTCACGGCAGTTCAAAAAATAAAGCAAATCAACGTAGGAGAATTTCATCGACACTATGCATTCTTATAGTAAAAAGGCTGATCTTTCGAATGTTCCAAACTAGAATTATATACGTTGTTTACTATTTTTCGTTACCCTGTTCTAAGCAAAAGTGTCCTATTCATGGCAGTTCAAAGAATAAAGCAAATTAACGTAGGAGAATTTCATTGACATTATATATTCTTATAATAAAAAAGCTGATCTTTCGAATGTTCCAAACTAGAATTATATACGTCGTTTACTTTTTTTCGTTACCCTGTTCTAAGCAAAAGTGTCCTATTCACGGCAGTTCAAAAAATAAAGCAAATCAACGTAGGAGAAATTCATCGACACTATGCATTCTTATAGTAAAAAGGCTGATATTTCGTACGTTCCAAACTAGAATTATATACGTTGTTTACTATTTTTGGTAACCCTGTTCTAAGCAAAAGTGTCCTATTCATGGCAGTTCTACCCTAATTTGCATAACGCATTATCGCGATATAGCACTAGTCTACGGTAAGTACAAGTTAGTTGCTTTTAAGTCACGGTAGGTTCAATGTTAAACAACAATTTCAGACGAACATTTTAGCGATATTTTGCGACGAATTTATGGGGACAGTTTTGATCGGATGGGAGGTCTCCGGAAGAAAAACGACTTATTCCGAGTTCGTGAGACTCTCGAAAGTGGAGGAAACTTCTTCCTCGTGGAACTTACACGTCCAGTGGCGAGCAAAATCGGTTTCGCGCCATGACACTTGATATCCTCCTGCGTGGGGACCGCCAATAGGTTTCTAACCGCGTTCCACAAAGGATTGGCCGTGGTCGTGCCTTGCTCGAACGCGAACGATCCTGGACCGTCGGTCGTTCCAGCCGCGAAACTGTAACCCATTGCGGGCAGACAGCCGTGGACCTGTCGGCACAAGAAAGAAATCGATTAAACTTCTGGGACTCCATTGTCTCCGCCAAAACCGGTTTGGAAACACGCTTTAACAAAATAACGCGCTTCAAGCGTCGATACGGTTCCCAGAGAGAAAATCTGTAAACTGAATCGAATGGCAGACTTTAGCAGACAAAGAAACTTTGGAACTCTAACTGATTCTTTATGCGAGAGGGAAACAGGAGGGAAGAATTTAAATTAGAATATAATCCGTCAATTTCAAAGGACTTTAAATTCTTGTTTGCAGAAGCTCCTGTAATCCCTTACCGTACCATTTTCTTCACAGTTCGAATGATTAGTACCTTTTAGATTGTAATAATTTCCCACATGAGGACCTCGGTGAGTGATGCAGTAAATTCTCTCCAATTGTCCCTCAGGTTGTAAATAAGAATGCACACAATTTCGGAAGAGGAGATACGAATATTCGAGCCACGCGGCTCGTTTTTATAGTTGTCGATCGTCAACAAATGTAAAATCGAGGCGCAATGCTTTCGTGCCTTCTCCTCCCAAATTGTCCATTTTGATTTACAAGCTAAAGGACAATTGGGGAGAATTTACTGTAGTATTGTACTGTACAATTATATACCATTACTATTATTATTATACTATTACTATTATACTATCACTATTACACCATCACTATTATACTATTACTATTATGCTATCACCATTATACTATTACTATTGTACTATTACTAATATATATTATTACTATTATGCTATTTCTATTATACTATCATTATTATACTATTACTATTTTACTATTACTATAATACTGAACCACTATTATTATACTATTACTATTATACTATCACTATTATACTATAACTATTGTACTATCACTATTGCACTATCACTATATTGCACTATCACTATATTGCACCACCACTATTATTATACCTATCACCATTATACTATCACTATTATACTATTACTATTATACTATTATAATATATTATTACTATTATGCTATTTCTATTATACTATTACTATTATACTATTAAGATTGTACTATTACTATTTTACTATTACAATTGTACTATTATTATTATACTACTACGATATCGCAAATGTAGTATGTACGTAAGTAAATCCAATCTTGTCATTGTTACAAAGCAATATACAGTAGATGTGTATAAGAGACAGCTATTATACTATCACTATTATACTATTAAGATTGTACTATTACTATTTTACTATTACAATTGTACTATTATTATTATACTACTACGATATCGCAAATGTAGTATGTACGTAAGTAAATCCAATCTTGTCATTGTTACAAAGCAATATACAGTAGATGTGTATAAGAGACAGCTATTATACTATCACTATTATACTATTAAGATTGTACTATTACTATTTTACTATTACAATTGTACTATTATTATTATACTACTACGATATCGCAAATGTAGTATGTACGTAAGTAAATCCAATCTTGTCATTGTTACAAAGCAATATACAGTAGATGTGTATAAGAGACAGCTATTATACTATCACTATTATACTATTAAGATTGTACTATTACTATTTTACTATTACAATTGTACTATTATTATTATACTACTACGATATCGCAAATGTAGTATGTACGTAAGTAAATCCAATCTTGTCATTGTTACAAAGCAATATACAGTAGATGTGTATAAGAGACAGCTATTATACTATCACTATTATACTATTAAGATTGTACTATTACTATTTTACTATTACAATTGTACTATTATTATTATACTACTACGATATCGCAAATGTAGTATGTACGTAAGTAAATCCAATCTTGTCATTGTTACAAAGCAATATACAGTAGATGTGTATAAGAGACAGCTATTATACTATCACTATTATACTATTAAGATTGTACTATTACTATTTTACTATTACAATTGTACTATTATTATTATACTACTACGATATCGCAAATGTAGTATGTACGTAAGTAAATCCAATCTTGTCATTGTTACAAAGCAATATACAGTCGAGGGCAAATTATAATCTAATATAAAGTAATTAATATCAAATATTAGTATAAAGTAAATTATAAAGTAATATAAAGTCGGGGAGACCTTTTAACACTATTTTTAAGGATCCATGGAACCAAAGAGTATCAGAAATAGCAGAAAAAGTAATAAAACGGATGCCGAAATTACTCCAAGAAGTAATTAAAAATCACGGTGGATATATCGTCGAAAAGAAGATTATATTTTCAGAAACATTAAAATAAATGTGACAAATTAAAGAAATTTTCTACCGGGTTTTCATATTCATTGAATTTTCTGTAAGTGCCCTAATACTTTTGGAGGAGAATGTACTAGGCAAATGCACGCGATCGACCCGTGAATAGATCAGGGTCCGCACACGATTTTAGACAAAAAAAAAGGTAATAAAAAGAAGGAAATAATAGGCTACTTTTCTAAATAAGAATCGTGGAATTATTCGTCGACAATATTAAAGTATCCGACAAATGAAATTCGAGGGTTGAAATTCCAACTCGGCTTGCTAGCGAGGGCTATCGGCAAAGGGCCACAGAAATTCTCCCCCGAATTCCGGCAGCTCAACTGTTGCCGCAGCATCAATCACGCGAACTTTTCCCTTTATTTCTCCTTTTTTTGTCCCGTTGGACCGACTATAGTTGACCGAGATATGATCGAGTTCTCCGTCTTCAAGACAGTCGCGACCAGTGTTTTGAGGTTTTTGCCATCTTTCAATGCCTGTCACGTATCTTTGTGACAATCGATTTCGATGAGATTTTTAGCAGGGGAAAGCAACAAATTGCAGGGGAAAGCAACAAAATGATATGTAAATTGAAGGAAATGGAGAATACCGACGAACATGGGAAAAATCAAAGAAAATCAAAGAAAATCGGAGAAAATAGAGAGAATTGAAGAAAATTAAGAAAATCGAAAAAAATGAAGGGAATCGAAGAAAATGGAGAAAGTCGGTGGAAAAAGGAAGAAAGTCGAAGGAAATGGAGAAAATCTAAGAAAAAGCAGGAAATCGAAGAAAATGGAGAAAAACGGAGAAAATTGAAGAAAACTGAGAAAATCAAAGAATATGAGAAATGAGTATATGAGTAAACGGAGAAAATCGAAGAAAATGAAGAAAATCGATGGAATACGAGAAAAACGAGGGAAATAGAGAAAATTGAAAGTAATGGAGAAAGTCGAAGGAAACGGAGAAAATCGATGGAAAAAGGAAGAAAATCGAAGATGTGGAAAAAAACTGGAAAAAGGAGAAAAAAAGATGGAAAAAGGAAGAAAATCAGAATAAATGTAGAAAGTCGAAGGAAACGGAGGAAAACGAAGAAACATAGAAGAGGAAGCAGAAATGAAAATCGAAGGAAATGAAAAATATCGAAGAACATGGACAAAATCCAAGAAAATGGAGAAAGTCGAAAAAATAAAGAAAATCGAAGGAAATGGGGAAAATCGATGGAAATGGAGAGAATCGAAGAAAAGAGAAAATTAAGAAAATTAAGAAAATCGAAGAAAATTAAGAAAATCGAAGAAAATGAAGAAAATCGATAACATATAGAGAATACCGAAGAAAACGATGTGGATTACCTCTTCGACTGTTTTGGTGGTCTCGTTGTAGAATTCGGCTGTCTGGTTCGGCATATTGACATAACGATGCACCACTCGGATGGGCCCGATCACTTCCTTGGCATTCCCTCCGCGCCACAGCCTCTGCAATCACCGGATAACAGAACATGAATATGGAATGGAGACGAGGCGCGAGAACAACGGGACACACCGTGTGCGTAGGTATACAAAACAAACCGGCGGGGCACGAAACGCGTCCGCCTCGGGTGTTCCTCTCCGCGCGGCTGCATTATCATGCTAATGGCTACTCTCGAAACTGTCGGAGGCTTCGCTGACCGCGTCACGGTTAAAGAGCACGCGAAGCGGATGCTAATGACGACGCACTGTGCTCCTAAATCAAGATTTACCGGCTCCGAATTGTTGCAAATTACCTTTCCCCCGACAGCTCCGAAGAAGCTAGATGCCCGCCTGTTAATCTTCTATCGAGACTATGAATTTTTTTAAGCTTAAATCGGAAATTGATCGATACAATGCGAAGCTGAAACAAATATCAAATCTTCTTTGAATATTAAGAGAAAGAGAGAGAAAAATTCTGGAACCAGTACTGTGTACCTATGATCTACAAAGAAAAATTTGTTCCTTTCTCTGAATACTGTGCTTCAATTACTGAGCACCCTACCTGAATACTGAGCCACAATATTTATGCAGAACAAATATTTAATATTTAACTAGTTAGCTGTTGCAATCTCTTTGAAAACTGTATAAATTACTGTAATTGTACTGTATATATGAGCCGTTTATTTTGAAAGTGGCATAAGTCACTCTACCGTAATGAAAAGTGGTGATTTTTTAATGTTTATACGAAATTATTTATACTGAGAAAAATATCAGTATCCTGAGATAACAAATACAAGTAAATCTTCTCGAAAGTTAACATCCATATTTTTAAACGGTGTTAAAACGCAAACCCTTAAATATATCGACTTAACAACAAAGTGACTTATGTCACTTTCAAAATAAACGGCTCATATTTGATTTTCTTAATTAGTTTAATAAAGAATATCAAAGCGTGCATATATTCTTCTTAACCAGTTAGCCATTTTTGACGAGTATGGGAAGAAATGGCAACATTTTATGTTACTATGAGTTACTGGCATTGTGTTACTAACATACTTTAATCAATTTTATTTTCTACACAAAGATCTCATTATTATAATAAGCCGTTTAAAAGTTCATATTAGAGAGGGTTGATTTAATAAAATATATTATTTACATTTTTTCTTTTTAAAACGACGGCAGAGATGATTTCAGAGCAGCACGGTAACTAACGCGTCGAGCGAAAAATAGGTTCGGTTACTGTGCACAGTAAATAAACTATTGGACTTGAAACTGGAAACAAAATTTTAAATGAGTAATAACTATTTTGTTTTTCCATAATTTTAAAACGTTTTATGAATACAATTAATATTGTGATATTTTATCTAGAACAATTTGTTTTACTGAATACTGATCTTCACTCGCGTTCAGTATTTTCACAAGTTTTTTCGTAAGTTTCACAGAAAATTTCGCGAATTCAGTATAAAAAGATAGAAACAGTTTTTTTGGTATTTTAAGAACTTCAGTCTTTTACATGTACAATTTTAACAAATAATTAATTAATTTAATTTAAATCAAAAAATTTATCATTTTATTTTTAATTTACTAATCGTAAATTCGACCCGTCATTTTGACGAGTTCCGTAAATCTGGCGTTAAAAATAGTTCGACGCTGCTAAGTGATTGTTTGTTGGTGAACCGAGCAAGTCAATTGCACGAGTTAAATCCTGTAAACAGCGAGTTCCTCCTAGCGTGCTACTCTTCTGGCATTCCCTGCGCACGTTCGCGGATGAAGGGGATGAAGATTAATGAATTGACCCTCGTTACTCCGGAATTCAGAGGACTCCGAGCCTCCCTCGAGAAACCGGCCGCGATAAAACGGATTCCTGCGCGACGCTTTCCCTGTTCTGTTCTACGGCTTTTAATTTACACGTTCCTGCGGCTGTATTAGGGCACTAGAAGCCGCTTTCTGTGTGTCGATGATAGAACGCGTGGCATAAGCCACGGGCTTTCGAATTCGGGGTGTGTTCGATCAATGACCGCGGATGTTTATGCTAATTTACTAATTTCTCGAAGAGAGTCTGCTGAACCTGATGCAAAATATTATTCCTACCCTGGATTTTTGTTCTAGATTCATTGTTTCATTGCTCTGTGAACCAGGAATGTTTATCACTAGACAGCCGATCTTTGTGTAAAATCAACCTTTTCCACAACCGTTGCAAGAAACAGGAACTGCGTGAACATTCACTTTCGTTTTTGGATCAGTTGTAAATAACATAATTGAATTATTAAATATTTGTGATTTTCCGCAACCGTTTCAAGAAACAGGAACAGCGTGAACATTTTTTTCTGGTTTTGGATCATTTTAGTCGGTTGTAAATAACATAATTATGTTATTAAATATTTGTGATAGTGTCGGTGTTTTCTGTTTCATAAAATGTACAGTCTACACTTATGGCAGTTTCCAGCTTTTCTTTTAAGGAAATGAGGAACAAGTCACATTATGTCACAATAAAATCCTGACACGAAATCATAAATCAACTTTTGAGACGTCATTGCAAAGGGGAGGCAAGAATACGATGAAACAAAGGGAGAAGAAAATTGTCGAACTTCGTAGAATCATTTGAATTTATACAATTTCAGGATGCCTTTCTTCGCAGAAAGATATCTCCAGTTTTTCCGTCTCTCGTTTCTCGTCTCTTACATATTAAAAACTAATTTCTCAGGAAACTGAGGCCAAGGGCGCGTAAGTGGAAACTCCGCCCTTCAAAATGAGCACAGACAGAAGGCCGTAACATTTTCTCCCACAATGTTAAAGTAGCTGAGATCATAATTTTGTGAAGAATCCGTTGAAACCGTGCTCGAAAGCAGAGTTGGACAATATTCGAATGAATTGTTTTCAGTCGAAAATTTTAGTCGACCATTTAATTTTAACGATTATTCACTATTCGTCATAATTTATTTTATCTGTTCATTCCAATAACCATTACCTTTACAATAACAATTACAATAACAATTATTAACAATTATTCAATATAAATTATTCTAATTATTCGAATATGTTAATCACATAATTCGAATATATTATTCGCATAATTCGAATAACTGTTATTCGAATAAAACATACGACTATATTTTATGACCAATAACTTTTTATTCGGATAAGGTGTTCGAAAAGAGACTTTAAAATGATTTGAATAAAAATGCGAATAATGATTGACTGTTCTTGTTCTTACGTAATTCTACAAGAACGCATTTTCATGATATCAAATTAATACATTCAGGATCAGTTAAATTTCAACTATTTACAGAATTATAAACGAACGAACGATCAACTCAGATGTTTACTGCCAACAACTTATGAAATTGAAGGAAGCAATCAAAGTGAAAAGAACAGAATTGGCAAATCGCAAAGGAATCGTGTTCCACCACGACAATGCAGAGCCTCGTACATCTTTAGCAACTCATACAAAATTATTGGCGTTTGATTGAAGAGCAATGCCGCCTCTTCTATATAGCCCCGATCTTGCACCATCGGATTATCATTTATTCCGAAGATTACAAAACTTTTCAAATGGTAAAAATTTCAATAACAACGATAGCCTCGAATGGCACTTGATTGAGTTTTTTTTTACTGATAAGGACCAGAAGTTTTACGAGCGCGGAATCACGAAGTTACCAGAAAGATGGCAAAAGGTCATCGAACAGAATGGAAAATATTTGACCGATTAAAGTTCATTTCTTGTTTAACACGTTGGCTGCCGTGGGGGTCACCGGTGACCGACACTCGACTTGGCTACAGCGCCGTGGGGGCCACCGGTGACCGGCGACGCGACGAATAGTTAAAATCCATAATTAGGGTAAACATCGATACGCATAAATTTTTAAATAATATAATATTATAATAATTGTAATTTATTACAATGCGCCACGAAAAAATGCATAAAACAAGTTTATACAACTAAACTTATCTGCTGTAAATAATATTTCAACATAATATGCATATCGCATAATGAAAAATTCATGTTGGCGCCTTGGGCAAGTCACGTAAAATTCGCGCGGCACAGCCAACGTGTTAAAAAAGATTGAGTTTTATTTCACATTGAAATACCGAAATTACTTTCCTGCCAACCAAATAGATCGGTTCTTAAAGGGGAAAACCGGCGCTGCGTGGCTGAGAGAAAGGGGTTGAAAGGGAAGCGACACCGGCGAAGGATTGAGGCCAGCCAGCCAGTAGTATAGCCTAGAATTCTTCCGACATCAGACGGTGACACGACGTATTGGTTGGGGATCGATTTCCTCGGGAAGCCGGTGCTGATTAATTCTTTTATCCCCTCACCTGCGGGCTCATTATTCCGCTCAGTGTGCAGGGGTCATCCCCCCGTCTGGGTCATTGGGCATTTCATGACTAATGTATTTAGGGTAAGCGCGTCGATCACTGTGCCAAGCACTGGTTACTCTGCCCTTGCAATAATTTTACTTGTATTTAAAAGCAACACGATTCAATTCAAGATACTGAATTGTTTAAAATCAAATTTGATCGGTGATTTACGTAATCGAAACTTTAATTTTGTACGACGTATAAAACGCGGAAACTAATTTTTTACATTTTTTTTATAATGCTTAAGCGTGTTTTTACTTTGCTCTCGTTAAGAAGCCTAAGAAACACGTTGCAAATGAAGATGAAGGAAGTAAAGGTTTTACGGTGTCTAAAACAAAAGCATAAACTATTATGTACATAAAACTCGTTTAAATTGGCGAAAAATAATAATACAATCGACATCTCGGATATATTTTGTTGTTTAAACTAATTCAGTAACTAGAATAAATTTACGTCTTGTTTCTATCGGTGTACACCGCAACTAGATTAAATAATCATGTCTTTTTCGATGCGTGCGTTGATTTCTGAACCCTCCCATGGCGAAGCACGCGTTATATACAGGGTGTTCCCCTGTGAAATAAAAAAGTCGAATCAATAAAGCGATGCTGTTTTACGTGTTCCGGCAAGGACCTCTTCATAATGCTTCCAATTTGCCCTGTTTCCCGTGC